CTAACAGAAAAAGTGGTGTGATGCCATCTCTATTTTTGTCGTACTTTATCATAGTAACATAATAACATTGTCATATTGCCCACCACAAATATAGAGCCTTAGTTAGAAAAGGAACATTTTCTCACAGGCAGCAAATGTGTTGAAGTACTTGCTTCTGTACAATCCTTTGTCAGTAATGACTGCATGAAACTTGCACACCTGCTAGCAGAGTATTCATAACACTTTACACAAACTACCACAACCATATCTTCAGACTCCTGCTATTTTTCACCTAACAATGTCAAAACTAGGTATTTTATAGCTTACTTTACAGCCATTCCCACCATGAAATGAGCTGCCATACTATTTTAAAGACAAAAGCCTTTAAGAAAATGTAAATCCCTGTTGTAACCAGAGACTTTGCAATTGTAGTCATATGATGAATAACTAACATGTGACAAGGTGAAATTACTGCCTTCTTCCCTCGGTTCCCCTAATTCTAACATAACCTTGTACCAGTTTCAGACGTCACCCATGCACAGCTCACGATGTCTGGGTTCACTGAGACCAGCAAAACTAAATAATAAGGCATCTTGCAGTTTGTAAAAAAAAAGTGACACATTTGCAGAGTAATAATACTGTTATCATACTTTTGGCCTTGGCAGTTCATGGAAGGCTGTGATTAATGGACTCTCTAGCACACTTTCTAATAAACAGTGCTACAGCGTAACAACAACTAATCACATAAATCAAGCACAGAAATTTCAATTCGGTCTCCTCCGTCATCCCCTTAAGACACTAATCTATTCCATCTATTGCTGCCTTAACAGAGAGAAATGAATTGTGATCGACATGGCAAATTTCAAGTGGCAAAGCACTCGTCACTAACTTTCCATGTGGGGGGAAAAAATAAGAGCTAAGCACTGCCTGTTAATCTGTATGGGCCAGTTTCCCAGACACGGATTAAGCCCAGTCTTGGACTAAATTGCAATGCCGATGGTGATTCACCGTTGAAAATCCTTTTCAGTCCAGGCTTAGGATTAATCTGGGAAACTGGCCCTATGAGTGAATATGACTTGCACAGAGCTGGAAAGAGTATAGCTGAGTAGCGCCCATAAAACTCCACTGCCTGTAGCTTTAAGTAATATTCAGACTTGACAAAATCACTAAATTCAAATTAGTGCTGCAGTCACTGTAAGTGTTACATAACCGTGAATGTGTACATGTTCTAAATTCACCATAATGATTCCTATACATTACACTACATACCAAGATTTAAACACAGAGCACAAATTTTGATTTAATGAATTTGCCACAATGTGTGTACTGGAAACCTGCAGCAGTATATAGGCCTTGTATTCAAAAGTTTGGGCACCCCTGGTCAATTTATGTGGTTTGTTGATTTTCCAAGTGTAAATACAGTGAACGGCACATTTTAAAGCACATTTGCTGTTAATTGCTGAATTTAACATATTGGGAGAAAAAAATAAAACAAAATATGGCCTGTGCAAAAGTTATTGCATATTTATATTCTATGTTTCTTTTCCTGCAAACTGTTAAACAGTTTGTAAATAAATAGAAATTGTACACTAAAATGTGCAGAAAATACCATATTTAATGTTTGTTCCCTGTATAGATGTATTATTTTACTCATTTTCACAAAACGTGTTTGACCAGAAATGAACTTTTGCATACGACTGTATGTTTCAACTTTTTCTCACATTATGCTATTTAGCCATTCCCACATTTAGTCAAAACTATAAAAATTGAAATCTTCAAACTCTGGCTTAAATGCAGTGTCTACTGGAGAAAGTTTCAATTGGCAAAAGATCTCACACACCAAAACAAAAGGTCAAGCAGGCCACAAAGTTTACATTCTCATAGCTGAGACATCAAAAAGTTTCATTAGCTGGACATAGTGCTGAAGTCCATGGTGCACATCGTGAAGAAAAAAAACAGGGCAGCAAATGTTTCAGTTAACAGATTTAGCACTGACGAAATTCTGTGATTGTAATCAAAACTATCCCAATTATCAACTTATCTACATGTTGCTAACAGATTTAAATGCAACTTCCTATCTACAGGAACACACTGGCCTCTAGTTTAGCAACAAAAACAGCAACAGCTCTTTCACATTTGAGGAATATAGAATATTCTTTGAGTCCAAGGATATGTTTTTGCATGAGTGTAGCTTCTTAAAACTTTAAAGAATACTTAGCAAGAATGCATTTTACATAAAGTCGTTACCAATATTGCTAGGGAGGGTGTTACATTATTAAATTATTCTGCTTGATATTTCATAACATCTAACATGTTCAAAAAAACATAGTATAAACGAATGAGTGCAGATTAAGACAGTTACATGTTTGCCTGTTTGAAGACTGTACTGCTTTTCTACACAGGCACCTTCCTGAGTGGTTGTCAAATAGCATATTTTCATTGAACAAGATTTGGATTTTAGTTAAAAAAGATGTGTTAACAAGGAGATGTGTGGAGGAAAAAGCCCTGGCTTATGCAGCTTGCCAAGAGGACATTTCCTGCCTCGACATGATGGGGGATGAATGCAAATCTAAGCTGCACCAAGTTGTAGTGTCCTGCATCTGCACCCTAGTAATGTGATAAGAGCTGCCCAAGTTGGAACCATACCAGTTCTGGTAAAGAAACCATTCATGGCATGAAAACATCATCAGTTTCACCAAAATTGTTTGATTTAACGAATATGGCAATAAAGGGTATAACAACGCACACTGTAAAGCTTGAAATGATATTCTAGGTGAAGATTTTTGATACACTATATGGCCAAAAGTACTTGGACACCTGATCATCACACCTAAATCTTTACTGTTGGCACTATACATCCTGCATCCTCCAAACCCAGATTCATTAGACTGCTAGATAATGAAGTGCGATTCATCACTTCAGAGAACGTGGTTCCACTACCTCTCATTCTGTAGTGAGTGATGCAACAAAGGACACATGATTTTTATGTGTTTCATGCTTCAGCACTTAGCAGCCCTACTTTGTGAGTTTGTGTGGTCCCAGATACTTCCAGTTCACAATAATAGCACTTACAGTTGACTGGGGCACATCTAGCATCTAACTGACTTGTGGCAAAGATGGCATCCTATGAAAGTGCCATGTTTGAAGTCACTGAGATCTTCAGTATGATCCATTTTACTGCTAATGCTTATATATGGAAATTGCATGGCAAGGGTGTGACAAACACCTGACCTCAACCATTAGGAGGGATGTCCCCTCTTGGCCATAGTGTATTTTATCTGTTAAAAATGTCTTGATCACATTTACGGCATTTGGCAGACGCTCTTGTCCAGAGTGACTTACAATTTGATCATTTTACACAGGTAGGCGAAGGTAGAGTTAGGAGTCTTGCCCAAGGACTCTTATTGGTATAATGTAGAGTGATTACCCAGGCAGGGGATTGAACCTCCGTCTACAGCATAGAATGCAGAGGTGTTACCCACTACACCATACTAAACAAAGATCAAATTACATAATGCACAGATTGGCTCACATAAACAAAAGTTCTCAAACATAACTTTGTAATTCCTGATGTGGCAGCCCTCTTACAACATCATATTTAACAAAGACTTCAGAAAAATAGTCCAGTCATTTGAGTCATTTGAGTATAAGCTCCACCCCTTCTCTCCCATTTGAAAAAAGTTTCATTTATTAAATACTGTCCTGAAATTGTATCAACTTTATAGGTACTTTTCTCAATTAGCTGGCTCCCAATACGAACTCTTATTCAGTAGCCAGTAGCCACACATCCATGGTTAGTATTTGAGCCTTAAGTATAGAAACACACCATTTACTGTGTACGTTTTTCCCAAGTGCCAATGAGTGATGAAGCACATGCAGTACTCTACATAAAAACGAATGAAAAAACATAGTGAGCCTTTAATTCCTCTAAGCAAAAAGATCTTTTTTGGAGAGGGTTATATTGTGTTAATAAGCGTAACCTTACATCTAGCACTGGATAGCTAGAGGAACTTGGTTCTAACATTATTAGCCGACACTAGCCATATAATGTGTGAACTTAGAGCACTCATAAATCTCACACTACAAAATCAGTTTCATTTCTGGGGTCAAGCTAATGACTTCGTGTGCTAAAATCTACTATTCTCTCCAAAACTTCTCCGAACCAATATGCACCGCTTAGAAAAAAGTTATACTTGCTACGAGGAATTGAGTTGCTGAGACTGCCAGACAGAGCTTTGGATTCTCTCATTAAAATTTAATTTTAGTATTTGCCCTCTTGTTTCCACTATGGATAAACCAGTGATAATTCTCCAAGTAAAGGGCATTTCAATTGCATCTTGTTGAAGACAAGAATAATAAGCCCATAACCTCCTGATTTCTAATTTCAGATGTGCGGTTGGGCTTGACTAAAACGTTCAGAATATAATTTAAAAACCTTCTCAGACTACACAGACTTTCCTCAGCTGTTTCTAGGAGATATGTTCACACAGCATAGCAAGAAGGCACAAGTCATTTGTTTCACCTTTCTTTTGAATATGCAACCACCTGTGGTCCTGCAAGGCACAGCTTTTTGTTAAAACAGAAGATTTTCTATTTTTGCTTTAAGGTCTTCCACTGGATGCCTGTTATCTCTAGCTCATTATTATATTCCGTACAGTACTCAAAGCTACATCCATAAAGCACCTTTGCACATTTTGTCCGGTCCAAGGCGAATTCTTTATGTAAATCCGGCTCAAGGCTAAAACTGCCACACTGACCAAAATATCAAAAACATAACTAATGTGATCTATCCAACTGGCCAAAATATGAAATACGGTGATTCTATATACAGTGTCAGACGAAGGGCATTCTACTGGCAAATACTGCTTATATGTCGTTTTTGTGCAATATAAATGCAATATAGGCATCACATGATCACAAAATCTCCTTATAAAAAATAAGATGGAACACTTTCCTTCTTAATGTTTGCAACAACTTACAAATAACTGTCCATTTTTAACATAGAAGTTTATGACACTTACCTTTTACGATTAAGTGAATGATTTTAGGCCGCGGATTGCGTTCACTCTGTATAGAGCAGGTATATAAGCCTTCATCCGTTACATCCACTTTCTGTATTTGTAGACTGTATTCATGTTTATCACCCATATTTGATACGATGGACACACGAGGATCCACTGACCATTTGTCATTCCCTGCGAATATTATACTGGAACGGTTCAACCATGCTCCTTTTGAGATCCCATCCAAAAGGTAGCACCTGAAAGATGAAAAGACAGACAATTAAAATTCTAGGTCATTTAAAGGGGACCAGTCACGCTGTCAAACAGCCTTGATCAACATTACAGCCCTCTAAATAAACATTCAGAACAAATCATGACATTTTGTGGAATATCTGTGGAACCCATAAAGTGTGATTGCAACGTCTCCTAGAGTTCATTTGGACAGTTACAGCTGGTCGGGCCATGGCTGTATCAGCACTGCACAGCATGACCACGTCCCCTCATCTACTGGAGGTCATTTTGCTTTTCAACTTTGTAAGGATCTGTGATTTCTGTGGAATTTACCATCGCTCTTACTCTGAATCAGCCAATATGCTGACTTGTGTTGTTGAATGGCATGCATGAAAAAAGTCTTTATCGCACACTGCTGAAAGACTGTGAACAAGGTAACCATAAAATTGCTGATTCTGTTAACAATCTGAACTGCATTTGTACTGAGAAACATTCGCCTGTGTTCAAAACTCTTCAAGCTAGAAAATTTCAAGAAGGATTAAAGTTTGGACTTTTTAACAGCACCAAATTCAGATTGAACACTTTCCTTGGACACTCGACAGGAACAGAAGACCTCAGTTGAGGTGTCTGTAATATCTAAGCTAACATTGCTTTAACTGCTGGGATGAGAGCTCGCTTGACATTGTTACAAATGTTTGTCTCAGCTCAGTAGAGTTAGCTGTGAATTCATTTTTCATTCATAATCTGAGCTTCCGAATAAACAATGAAAATGTAAATCGTGCTAGACTATCATACTACACTCCAACTGCTCCTATGGCTAGTTCTGTATTCCCGGTTGGTAAACTGCCTTTTCTGTTGTGAGCTTGAAGGAGCTGGGTTAGTGTTTGGTTGTGGATACAGTTTCTGTTGTGACTGAGTTTGAGGGGGATAAGCGAGTGAATGGGAACGTCAGGCCACTGCAGTGTTTCTTGGGAGATGAGTTCTCCTATGTTTTTCAAACCTCTGGCATCATGTAGCAGCTTCTGACACTAAAAATAACCCAATGTGACTTTTCTCCTTTAATTAAAGACTCAAATTTTCAACAAGATTACTGACTGATTGGCAGCAGCAAGTGCCAATAGCAGTAGACCTTCAGAATTTCTCACTAACTCCCTGTTCCTGTGATAACCAAACTTCACCTGTATTTAAGCAATAGACCGTGAGAGGAAATGTATTATCCCTCACAGGTGTGGTGTTATTTGGGAGAACACACGACCTTAGGTGTTCTTAGAATATTAACATACCAAAAATTGCTTAAAATACAGGTGATTCTAATGCTTTTATACCCTAAAGTATGCTTTTATGCTTTTTCTAATGCTTTCATAAAGAAAGCAAAGAGACTTCTAACATTGTTCCAAATCTATGGATTTATTGGCAATTACTTTTACCCAAGAAAGCAGTTCCAGCTGTTTAAAGCAAAGTGATCATTGTTAGCAGCAACTGATATAATTAAGAATATCCATACTCTTGAATGGCCATCAATGGCCATTCTATGTTTCTATTTCTACATTGATAAAAAGGATAAAGACTGCAGTTTGTTAGTTACTGGATAGTGGCTATTTGCTGTTTAGCTCTTTACTTTAGCCCATTTATTTAATGTTAAAAGTTTATGAGGCTGAACTGCGAAAAACAGATGCTTACATGTGTTTTGGCTGGATTTTACAGGAAAGTGCAACATTAGTAACAAGATAAATAAAATCGTTAAATTAGGTTGATGGTTGCGAAGCCTTTGCAATCAATGACTGTTGTCTTTAGACATGCCTACTCAATAGGACTCAGATCCGTGATTGACTTGGCTTGTGAGGAACATTCCAATTTTTGGCTGTGAAAAACTCCAAGTTAAGACGCTTCTGAACACATCCGAACTCACCCTGCTGCTGTCGGCATTCACATCAATAAAGACAAATGAGGCAGTTTCACTGGGAGCTGTGCATGCCCATACGACCATGTTTCACAGATGAGGAGGTACGCTTGGATGAGTGATTCTTTTATCAACACTTTTCTCATTCACTCACTCTGGTACAACTTAATCTTCAGCTCATCTGGACGTAAGACTTTGTCCAAGAACGCTGCAGTCTGCTCTTAAAGCTCACCAGAGGTTCACATCTAATAGTAAACTCTCCAAGGCCATGCTGCTGTATTTACTCTCTTTATGATAGCAGCCTTTCACATTTATGCTCACAACCTGGAGAGTGTTCCTGACCTGTTCGACATACTAAAGGTATTCTCTGGTCATCCACTACTGTTGTCTTCCATGGCGTGCCAGGTTATTTGCTACTGGCACATCTCTCTCAACTGAGCAGCCAATTTTGCAATTACTTGCTGCCCCCAAAATAGAAGGGGACAAAAAAATGTAAATCCTTTACATGATATGGATCACAATGTCGTTTTAACAATTTGGAATCATGGTTTTCAATAATATAAAACAGATAAAAGTATAAAATGATTCTAATATGATGTTAGGACTAATTAACCTCACAGGTCTTAAATAATTGGCAGAAGGGGGTAAAAGCAGCTTTTAGCAACTTTTAGACGTGTTTAGACTCCAGAAAGGTAACAGAGCTGTGGACAATAACTGAGATACCTGTTTAACATCAAGAATAAAGTTATAAAAAATGCCAAATATTTTTAAAATAAGTGTTAAATTTCATGGCTGATAACTTGACAAGTATGGGAAATTGTTATTAGAGGTGGGCAATATGACAAAATGTAATATTGTAATACTTCTGGAAGTACAAAACATGATGTGTCACGATATTTCATTTCTCTGACATCCGATAAGTACAGATGAAATAGGGCCATATTTTAAAAATACTACCAAAAAACTATGAATCCAATTACTTTTATTCAACATCTGACACACTATGCTGAACTAAATCCAATGAAACATGACTAATTATGCTCTCTTTATAATCAAGAAAGCTGCTTCAAGTGCTTTTTAAATACGGACAATATCCACAATATGCTTACAAAAGCATATTGTCACATAATGTGATATATTCTATCACAATAATGATAAATATTGTCATACTGCCCAGCTCTACTTTGTTACCAAAAAACGTATTAAACACCTAAAAATAGTCAGTATTCCCAGCTAACATATTTAGTCATTAATTAATTTCAAAACCAATGAACTAGAAGAGTTTCTGTTCAAATACATATAGACTGCATTGTAAATCTCTGCACTGTAAATGCTTGAAATTCTTCATAGTTGATCTGGAGCTTGCACTCTCACAGATACTTGTGCTCCTGCCAATTGACCTATTTCACTCATACTGATTCATATTTATCAAATTTCAGAGTAAGAATGCTGATCTGGGATGAGTTAATGTCTTTTACATAGCATGGAATAGTCTTACGTGGACTGATGAGGCCTGAGGTAGATCACTGTTCCTTCTAACTACAGAGACCTTGATAAATACAGATCATTGTGTGTGCTATGAATGGGGAATAATGTAATGTAGCAGATTTAAATCTACACTCTGATTCGGGTTCTGGTGGCAGAGCTATCCACTAATGAAACACGGCAAGGCGTGTACCATTTCCTCATACTGTAGCTGTATTTAATTGAGTTGTCAACAGAGAGTACAGAGAGTACCTCTAGTACTGTACTGTCCGTTGGTTCTCCAGACATGATCATTATTTGCCTTGACATGGTCCGCATAGCATCACACCTTCACTTTTTTAAAGACGTTATTAAAATATTCAGGAGGAGCATACAAAAGCTGTACTCTCTAGCCCATAAAGAACCAAGATAGGCCATTATTGGACAATGGTTATTCTCATAATAATCATTCCTCGCCAGAGATAAAAAATATCCAATATATCATAACTGTCCATTTGTTTTCCTACATCAGTTGAGCACAGCAGCTGTGCTTTACATCATGTGAAAATTTGATGAATGGACCAACAGACACAGTCCAAATTAACTTGGAAAATATTACATTAACTTACATTAAAAGTAAAAAATGTTTTGCCCTCTCTGACAAACTTACCATTTTGGAAACGCCTTTTTTGGACAGTGAAGACATACAGCATCCAAGTAATATTACTACATACTACATACTGTATGCCACATTCTCAAATGTTCATGTGTCCATTTGAGATTTGTTTTTTTCCTTTTTTTTTTTTAACAAAACTAATGGAGCAGACAGGTCTCTGGAATCATTACGGTCTAGTTCGCTTCTTTGCTTTACCCCCAACTCATAACAGGCAATCCAAGGAGGATTTTTACAAACTCCAAAAATCTTTAAGTGTTGCCTAATTTGACTAACCCAGATATTTCATGACTTTTATGGAGTCAAAAGAACTTCTTTGGCATTCATCAAACAAAGCTTGAAACAGATTATAGTCATCTCTCATATGGATGAGTAAACAAAGCAGGGTTTAAAGTTGCCAGCTCAAGGCTGCCAGCTCAGCCAGTACAGTCACATGGACTGGAAATCTGATTTGGCTCATAAAACTTCACCCTATACTTCAAGCCAAATTTATTCCTCTGACAACAAGCCCAGCAGCTTACAGATTAAACCAAAGGCAAAGATGTACAACAGGCATGACAAAGAGACCCCAACAACAAGACAGAATCAAACAGAATCAAATAGAATAGAATAGAATAGAATAGAATAGAACATGGTACACATTTGAATGTGGCAATGGTGTAAATAAAGGGATATTCAGACACAAACCCTTGATTCCACCAATTTTCCAAAATGTCTGCTTGACTCAACATTTGAGATGTAAGCAAAGTCCATCAGTGGTTTGATATGAAATGGTTAAACTCACTGACTTATTGAATGATGTGTTTACAGTGTGTTGATAGGAACCAGGGGTCTCGATGTCTACAATGCAAATACAGCCATTTTATTACAATGCAATATGACCAGTGAACTGACATGTCTTCAGAGTTTTTATATGTAACATTGATAATGGTAAAATTGTCATGCATCCCTCCAGCCATGACTCCCAGGACTCCAATTCCCAGAACCCT